TTTTTTTTTTTTTTTTTTAAGAATCATTTTAATAAATGAAGACTCATTTAATATAAAGATATTCATTCTTTTATTTCTTCAACTGGCAATTACTATTTTTTTATCATGGATTACAAAATGTTTGTTTAGTTCTCAATCAAATAATGTGGAACAAAAGAAAAAAGAAAAAGATAAAGATGATGATGAAAATCAAATGAATAAAGATATAATTAAGGATGGAAAAAAAAAAAGCAGAAAAAAAAAAAATTAACTTCACAAAAAGATAAATTTAAATGTAAATACAGTTTTATAAAAATTTATACATCATACAAGATATAAATGATATAGTATATATATGCATAAAGAGAAAGGTAAGATTAATAAGAAATGGTTTATAATCAATTTTTTTTTTTTTTTTTTTCTTATTGAGTTGTATCTTTACAATTTTGCTGAGTAATTAATGAATAATCTCCATGATTACATAATATATATTCTGTTTCTTTTTTAGTGCGAATTCTTAAATTACTATTAAATTCGTTCTTAAAAAAAAGGAGAAAAAAATTTATAGAATAAATTACCTATACATTTATATATGTTTATATATTTTTTTTTATATAATACATATAAGTTTATATTTTATTCATTTTTCATAATTTTTTAACATAATAAAATTTTTAATATTTACTTCTTGAGGAAGTAATTCTTTAACACACTTTTTTGTTTTTGTTATTAAGTCTCTGAAATTAAAGAAGTTTTAGAATGCTTTATATATAATTTAAAAAAAAAAAAACATAAATATATTAATCAAAATTTTCCTTTAAAATTAAAATATAATTTTTTTTTTATCAATAAGTAATGTATCATTTTATTTTAACAAAAATATCGTCTTATTTCTTAGTCTATTTAAAAATATAAAAAAAAATTACGAAAATAATGAAGCTTGTTTGACAGCATACTCATAACTCACTTCTTCATTATATTTTAGTGGGATACCTTAAATTTTTTAAAAAAAAATAAAAATAATAATTTATTTTCTTTTTTTATTTAATTATATGTATTTCTTAATATATGTATGCAATATTTGTTAAAATACAGAATTATTATCTTTAATCCTATTCTTTTCTAATATAATTTTTTTAAATTACGAGAAAATTTAATCTGGTATTATAGTTCCGTACACTCTTTTTTTCTATTTATATTTAACTAACATAATATTTTTACGTATTTAAAAGAGTATATTTTAATTTCTATACCATTTATATTCTATCATTAAAATGGGCTTGCATAAAAAGTTAAACAATTACTTGTAATTATGTATTTTTTATTTTTACCATCTGAATTTATTAAAACATAAGATATTATAGAAGAGTTATTATTCATCCATCCATTTAATGATTCACTAATTTCACTTGAGGAGCCAGCCATTATTTATTATTTTATTTTTATTTATATTTCTAGAAATGTTAAAAAATTAAGAATTACATCACATAATAGGAAAATGAAATTATAATAAAATAATAGGAGAAAACAGTAAGAAAATTAAAATCAAGATATAATAAAAAAATAAAAAGAATTAATTGTAGATATATTAAATGTTCAAAAAAGAAAAAAAATTTATTTAATGCAAATAAAAACTTAAAAAAAAAAGAGGGTATATTAATTAAAAATAACTATATTTTATGGAGCATATATATATTAAAAAAAAAAGAAAAGGTATATAAATATTGAAAATATTTTAGTGTAATATCATGTTAAAATATGATAAAAAAAAAAAAAAGAAAATTATATACTTATTATACTCATGATAAATACATAAATACGAAATATAGAATGTGCATTATTTCTCATTAAATAGACGTGGTTTAATGAGAATAATAGATATATATATTTCGGATATAGAAAATTATTATATCAACAAAGAAAGATATTATATATGAAAATTCTAAATAGAAAAAATAAATTTAATATATCATTTAAAGGTTTATTATTATATATATTTTTTTGGTCTATCTGAAAACAATGTGAATATATTTTTTATAGTTTACTAAATTTTATATTTGTAAATTTAAATTTAATTTAAATTTATTTTATTTTTATTTCCTTTTAAGAGTGTCTTTTTCTTTAATATATTTTAAACAATTTTCATTTATTAATAATTTTTTCTTTATCATATAGTTTATACTATATTTCATTTTTAATTTTATATAAGAAATAATTTTTTTCAATATTTTGTGAAATCCTTTCTTCAATGATATTTTCATTTTTTGATATATATGAATCTTTTTTAATTTTTTCTTTTTTTATGATCAGATTTTTCTTTTATATGCAATTTAACGTTTTTCCCTTCCTAAAACAGTACCTATTGCTTTTCTTATATTGAAAATTTATTATAATATTGTTTTATAATTTTTTTTCATATTACGAAAATATATAGTATATATATTTTTTTTAATATTATTTAATATATCAACTTTTTAATTACTTTAATTTATCTATTTTTAACAATTATTCTTAAGGATACAAAGTGATTCTTTACATATATTTGTTTAGAAATTATTATAAATGTTCCATTATATTCTTATATTTTATTCCATCCTTTTTTATGAAGCTACTTTTATTCTTATTAACATCAATAATCTTTAAATAGGAATTATTTTTTTTTTTTTTCTTTTATCCTTATAATTAATATTTTTATATTTATTCTATGTTAGAATCGCTTTTTTTAAAATTAACTTTTTTTGCCCCTTCTTCTGATTCTTCTTTTGATTCTTCTTCTGATTCTTCTTCTGATTCTTCTTCTGATTCTTCTTCTGATTCTTCTTCTGAATCTTCTTCTGAGTCTTCTTTTTTTGAGTCACTTTTTTCTAAGCTTTTTTTTTTTTCTATATTCTCTTTTTCTATGGACTTCGAAGAAGATTGTTCTAGGTTTTGTTCAGAACTCTTTTCCGAATCTCCATCAGATTCACTTGATTTACTATTATTATCTTTACTATCATCGGAATCACTACTAGATTCATTGGAATTATTAGCTTTATAATTTTTTTCTTTACTACCTTCTAATTTACTACTATCCGAACTCGTTTCACAACTTTCGCTTTCCTCGCTATTTGAATCAAAATTCTCAGTTTCCTAATAAAAGAGTATATCGATATATATATATAATGAAAAGTATAAACAAAAATATAAATATATGCACATATGTAATAGAAAAGGAAATTACAATTAAAATATCTGGTTTTTCAATAAGCATTTCCATGCACTTATTCGCTAAGCTTATGCATTCCGTAAAAGTTGCATTAGGTTTTCTTCCTCTAAAAAATGTTGAAGAAAATATTTTACCTAATGTCTCTGGTGTCATATTATTTTCATTTGAATAACTTGAGACATTTTGAAAAAATTTCAACAGACATAACACACATTGTTTAACTCCTGGTTCAAGTTTCTCATATAATTTTGATAAAGTAGCTCTTATAACTTTGTTAGATGCAGATACACTCTTTAAATGATGTAACCTTGAAAAAGCATCTTTACCTAGTAATCCATGTTTCTGAGCATCTAAAAAAAGTTTAAAAGAACAAACCAGAGCTGGTATGTTGTTAAAATCAGTTGTTGGTTCTCCATACTCTATATCACCAATTATACCATATAATGTATTTGCATCTGCTTGTAAGTAAAATAAATCTTTTGTATTAACAATTTCAGGCTTAGATAAATGACTCAAAAATTCTACAATTATTGATGGAATGTGATTAAATTCTTTGTATGTTTTTCCAAACCTTTGGCATAATATTTCTAAGTCAGCACCAAACACTGAAACTGGTTTTTCACCTAGCATTACCTCCTCATTTCTTTGAACTATATAAGGAAAATGTCTTAGATAATTAGTAGGTTTTATATTTAATTTTAAAAACAGATCTTCTAATTTTTCTATATATTCTACTTTCTTCCAAAATTTTGCTGAAACAAATGGCGTTAGCATTGTTAACAATGTTTTTGATAAAAATCCACTATGTACAAGGTACAACTTCTTTAAATTTTTTTTATATTTCCTTGGTAAGGTATCATACCCTAACAAAAAAATAAAATAAAAATAATATAATTGCATTAAACTATAAATAATTTATTGCTTTTTTTTTTTTTTTTTTCTTTCTATTTATTTATATTTTCTTTATTTACATTGCTTAGCGTATGCATAAACAGCGTCAGTTAACCAACTTGTATGAGTTTCACATAATATTAAAACATAATCTTCTTTCACTATAGGATCTAATGTTAATATTGCATATCTTCTGTAAAATATAAAATAAAAATATAATACAATATTCATAAATTTTAATATAATTCTATATATTCTAAGTAATTTATCCATTTTTTTCAAAAATGAAAATATATAATTTTAAAATTAATACTTATATACATTTATATATTTTTTTATATAAAAATTATTTTTCATTTTTTTTTAAAATATATAGTGTGTATATTACATATTCTTTATTAGTGATATACTATATAAACATGTGTGTATTTATATATAAATTATATTTTTCTATATTTTAAAAAATATTTACAATGTTTTTTCAGGATCAGCTCCAGATGATACTATAAAGCAAGGAACTAAAAGAACAATATGTGAACCATATCCATCCTTTCCTATTACTTTTAATAGATCTGTCTTATATAATCTATTAATGTAAAAAAACAAAAAAAAAAATGTATACTTAAATTCATAATAAAAAAAAAATTAAAATACAATATAATTAGTAAGTATTCGTTAGTTAAAAAATATGTAAAAATAAAAAATATTAAAATTTTTATTACTCATCAAAATTTTCCGTATATGACTTTTTTAGTAATTTTTCATATTCTGCCAAAACATCTGGAAGAACTTCTGCATCTGAATCTAGCATTTTTTATAATTTGATTATCAAATATTAAATTTAATTAATAAAAAAAAAAAAAAAAAAATAGAATTATATATTCAAATATAAATATTAAATTCTCATAAAATTAGGAAAAAAATAATTAAAATTCATAGTGGTATTATTTGTTTATAGTCTGTTATTTCTTCACATTTAATATAATATAAACTATTTTAAAATTAGTCTTCCGAATGAAATGCTTTTTCCTTTAATAAGTAAAAGAAAATTAAATATTTTCAGTTAAAATATATCATATAAAAAATAAAATTCACAATTTTTAAATATCAAAAGCAAATACTTAATAAACATTTATAGTTTAAACGTAAGAAATTATTTGAAATTTGAAATTTTAAAATATGCTATTTACAACGTCTATCATTGAAATGAATAGAAATTAGCTGATAGAAATTTTAATTTTTGTTTAATTTTTATATCCTATTTTTCTAATTTAAAAGGAAATTATGTAAATATCTTTTTTATTTTTTCAAAATTACATAAAAATAAGATAAAAAAATTTTTAAGCAACTAAAATGGTAAAACATGCTTTCTCACTCTTTAATTTCTTTTATTTTAGCTCTATGAATTTCAAAAACAATATTTTATAAAAATGTTATTCAAAAATAATTAAAATTTTAAGTCTAAGGCAGAGTTGAGGAGTTTAATTACTTATTCATTTTTTAATATTTATACGAAAAAATAATTTAAGACTTAAAATTTTAACACATTTATCATTAATATAAATTTAGATGTATAATAAATAATTTCATTTTTCAAATAGCTTTATTATGAAAATAGTAAAATAACATACTAAAAAAAAAAAAAATATTTATATAAAGACTTGCACGGTTGCACACACACTGGGCAAAAGCGAAGAATTTTTTTTTTTTTCTTCATTATGTAAATATATATTTTTTATAAAAAAAAATTATTCACTTATCCTTTTTTATTTAGCAGAATTTTCATTTATATTGCATAAATAAAAGTTTATGTTTAAAATAAATTTACATACAGCATTTATAAAAGTATATTTTTATTCCTTATAATATATTAATAACTGTTTTTATACAAATAAAAATTGTATGAAAAGCTATTTACTATTTATATTGCTAATGAAGCTATTTTATTATGTATTCTATAAATAATACCCTATTATTAATAACTTTATCCAAGGGAATTGTTTAATAAAAGAAATAAATGTATTTCCTCTAGTTATCTTTTTCGTGAAACTTAAAATTATTTATATTCCATCCTAATATATGTGTGTGCATCTTCATAATTTTTTTTTCCCATAGAAAAAAATATCTATATGTGTGTGCACATTTTAGATAACAAATTGTGGGAATAGAAATGATAAAACAACTGAGTTAAAACATCATATATAAAATAATAAATAGTATTTCTGTTTTTTTTTTTCACAATTCAATGATTTACTTATTCATTGAAAAACTATAAAAAATGTAATTATTTTTATCATTTTAAAATTAAATCTTTCATTATTTTAATGTTTTTTCCTTTTTTATTTCTCTTCTATTCTATTATATTTATACATATTTAAAACTATTTCAAAAAAAAAAAAATATAGCATATTATTTTTGTTCATTTGATACTAATATATCTTTTAACATTGTTAAGGGTCTAAACAAAAAAATAAAATTAAATTAATAAAGATATATAAAAATTAAATTATAATTTATTTTATAAATGCAAATATATTATTTTTTATTATTTCAATTTAATTTCCATTTATTTTAGTTTGTTTTCTTTTAAAATGTTTTTTTTTTTTTTTTTTTTTGCAACTCGTTATAGGCAACTGGTGCGTATAGTTGTAAGCAACGTGATTTTAAAATAGAAATGCATAATCGGTTTTCTGAAAGTTAAATGTTTAACATAATTTATTATGTTACTTTAATTAAAAAAATAATTTTATAAATTGTAAAATACATATAGAAAGGAAAATTCTAATTATGTTCAACAATTAGAAAATAGAAAAATAATAAAAAAAAATATTTACACACATTTTAATTAATCTTTAGACTCCAAAATAAAAATTTTGAATGAAAGTTTTTTTTTTTTTATTTTATTTTTTTTTAAATAGATTTATTCTTCATTATAAAATACAAGTATTAACATTTAATTTAATGTTATTTGTATTTTTCAAGCGAAATAATTTTAAATTTTACATGTTTATTTTAAAATGTTTATGATAGAAAAATTATACTAAAAAAAAAAAAATTATATCTTTTTTCCTTTTTTAATGAAAGAAATTTATAAATTTTTAGTTTTTTAAATAAGATGTAAAATTCAACATTTATTTTGTTTCTATTTATTTATTCTTCTGTCTACTTTTTTGTATTTTGTTTTATATTTGTTATTTTATGTTTAAAAATGCTTCATAGTTTTTAAACAATATTTATATTTATCTATTTTAGAATAAACACAAGCAAAAAAAAAAAAAAAATAAATAAATAATAATAAAATAGAACTTTATAAATAATTTTTATTAAAACTAGAAAATGCCAATAAAATAAAAAATTCCATATATTAATATTTAATATTGATAAAGTTTGTATATGCTTAATATCCTGAAATACTATTTATTTACATCATTTATGTGCTAAATTAATAACATACATATTATACAAAAATTGTGGTATTTATGTAAATTTCATGAGAATAAGTAATTTATAGTTAAATTAAAAATTAAGAAATTTTTATATATAAATAATAAAAATTTTTATTTATTTTTTCAGAGGAAATAATAACTAAAATTTTAATAATAATCTATTTCTAAATTAATTTTGTATACTTAAATTTTTTTTATTAATTTTTTGTTAAACGAATATTATTAAAAAATAAAATAGGCCAGCTTAATAGTAGGAGATCAAATATATTTTTTTTTCTAAATTTTAAAAATTCATTTTGGAAATCATGGTGGTGTATGAGTTTGTTAAAGTATAAATGCGTTTTAATTGTTTTAAATATATGATATAGTTGCACATTTATGTTGCAAATTTTGTGAAATATATGTATGCATATATATAGATAGGTTATGTGTATGAAAATTAAAAATGATAGATGAAAGAAGCATAAAAAATAGTAAGTTGGACTTTATTAGCGATATGAATTCAAAAAAAAAATTGAATATAGTAGAAGAAAGCACTTTAGAAAAGGTTCACATATTACCAATAAAAAAAAGCGTTTCTAATTTCGACTCGCTTTATGATAAGCTAAATTCTTTAATTAATGAGAAATGTATTTTGCATGAAGGATTTATTATTAGTTTAAATAATACAAATGTAAACAAGAATAAAAATGAAAACATAAATAAAGATGAAAATGAAAACGAATCTGAGAGAAAGGGTGAAAATGCAGATGATGATGCAAGTAAGGTAAAAGATCAAAATGTGAATACAGGTGAAGAAGAAAATAATTCTTCATTAAAAAAATCGTTGTTAGAAATAGAAGATCACAAAAAATTAAATAATAATGAAATTTGTTTATATGATAATGAAAATAATAGAGATAATAAAATAAGTAAAGATAATCATGTGAATAATGATGTAGACTATGTTATTATTGATTGCATCCCGTCTAAAGGAGTACTTAGTCATGATACATTAATTTATACGGATGGAAAATATGTTGATAATTTTAAAAAAATTCATATTTTAATAATAAATGATAAAAATTACAAAAAATATGAAAAAAAATTAAAAAGAAATTTTTTTTCTTTTAAAAAATATTTTTTTAAAAAAAGCATTGAATTTTTTAATGACACCATTTCTTTTATTCCTTTTTCTTTTGACTGTTTTTCTCAAAAATCAAAAAGAAAAAATGAATCTAATAAATTAACAAGAGATTATAAAGAAAAAAAAAAAAAAAAAAATGTAGTATTAGAAAAAATTTTAATATCTTATTTATATCCTTACTTTAAAAAAAATAAAAACAAGTTATTTTATTGTGGAAAATTATTTATTATAAGCAATTTTTCATTTCTTATTTTCAAAGTTGATTCTGATCTAAATGTTGGCTTTATTGATGAGCATACAGTTAGAAATAAAATAATAAATTTTCTTGGTTTATGTTTTATTTATTACACATTACATTTTATTATATTATTTTGTTTTTGATAAAATATAAAGCTTATTTTTTTATTTTACCATAATATATAAAGATATAAATATATGTTTTTTTTTTTTTTTTTTTTAAATGTGTATATGTCTTAATATAATAATAGAAATTTATTATGAAATATAATATATTATTTATCATTTTTTTTTATATTTTTAGGAAATAATATTAAATGTTGATTATTATGAGCAATTTAATAATGTTCATATTGTTCCGTTATATGATACTTTACCAACTACATATAATTATGACTTATTTATCGATTACATAAAGCCATATATAGAAAGACATTACTTAAATTTATATTCAATTTATGATACTTTCTTTTATAAAGGAGTTCAATTTAAAATAATGGGGATTGATCCAATTAATATAAAATATGGCAAAGCCAGAATTAGTTGTAACACATTTATTTATATTGATGGATCGATAAAACCAACGTTTTTTGATGTCATATCAAAAGAAGCAATTAATTATATCAAATGCTTACCTTTTGAATATAAACCTTATGCTATATTAAATATTTTACAACAGCTAGATTCAGATTCTTTATTAAGATTGTTTCCATCAGCTAATATGAATTTACGAGAAAATAATATGAAAGAAGAAAACATTTTAAAACAGTTGACAAAGCATAAATATATATTTAATAAAAATTTTAAAAATAATTACTTAAATTCTTTAGAAAATTATGATAAGAGCGAAGAAAATAATATCAATGAAAAAAAAGATGTAGCTATTTTAAAAAATAATTTAACAGAAGAACAGTGTGCTGTTTGCTTTGAAAAATTTCAAGATTATGATAAATGTATAAAATTGATATGTTTACACACATATCATTGGAAATGTGTGAAAAACTGGTTTAAATTTAATTTAACATGCCCTTGTTGCAGATGTAAATTAAAATTTTAAAAATAGGAAAAAAAAAAAAAATAAATAAAATAATAAAAAGCAATTGATTTCATTTTGATTACATGCAACTAACTTTAATATCCATTATTTATATGCACACATGTTAATATATACGAATTTATCATTTATTTGTAAAGGAGTTTTACCTTTTAAACAATTGATTATATACATTATTTTATTTTTTCATATGAGAAGGATTAATTTACAAAACATAAGGATTAAATAAGAGAGAAAAAAAAGTAGTAATAATCTCAACTTATATTTTGTAAAAATACACGTAAGAAGGAAAATTAATATCTGTATATAACTTTATGTACATAACTATTAAATTAAATCAAATGAATGTTCTACAATATTGAAAGGTACACACAAAAAAGCATTTAATATATATTTTTATTAAAAAAGATGGAATCGTAATTTATTGTAACCCTTCTAATATAAAGGAAAAAAGGCCTTCTCATATATATGCGTATGATAAAAACAAAACAATTCACTGAAAATTTAATATGTAATCTTCTTTTTCGTAAATTTTTAATATTTAATATATAAAAAAAAAAAAAAAAAAAAAAAAAATATATAAAGTAATATAAAATAACTTAATTTTAAAAAGATATAGTAAAAAATTCATTAACAATTCATATATAATTTTATTTGTATATTTTTTAAAAAAAAATGAACATGAAATATAAAATTAAGAATGTTTACTTATTTTTTTTTTAAAAGAAAATGTTTATAAAAAAAAAAAAATTAAATTTCATAATTGTCAGAATATATATTTGTTTATTTCCATTTTCTTTTAATTGTTTTTACAAAATTTTCCAAAGAAAAAAAAATTAAGAAATAAGGTTTAAAAATTATTTTTTTCTTTTTTTTTAAATGTAATTATAAAACATGCGATTCATAATTTATTTTAAAAAATTTTAAATATGTAGATAAAATATATAAAATATAATTTTTATTGAGTTAAGTAATATTTATTTAATGGGTCTCTCAGCTTTAAAAAAAAATTATGGTAAATTATTTTTTTTTCGCATTAAATAATAATCTTTCTTTTCTATATTATTTTATTTAATCTTATATATAATGTAAACATATATATTCCTACTATGTTTTGAGTTTAAGGTTAATTATTTTTAATTTTATTTAAAATATATATATTGTAAATTATTTTAGTTAAATTTTTAAGGGAAATATAAAAAATAGAAATTAAAAGAAAATTTATATCAATTTCATTTACAATTTTTTTTTTTTAATTTTTTGTAACATACGCATATTATTAAATGCACTAAAAGTAAAATGAATTTTGTGAAAACTCATATCTATAAGCAGATATATACTAATGAAGGGATACAAGAATTAGAAAAAGATACTAGAAGTAAAAAAGAATTAGTTGAAAATCAAATTTTAAAGGGATTACCAGAGTTTAAGAGAGATAATCAATTTTTAAGTTTATCTGAGCAATTAGAATTAAAAAAAAATACCGCAACATTAGAAGACAATGATAATAATACGAATTTGTATGGTCTTCCTAGTTTAACCGAAGAAGATTTAGAATATTACGAAAATTATGAAAAAAATGATAATTATAGTATTGAAAAATTAAAAGAGAGAGAAAGAGAATTAGTGAATGAATTTAATGAAGCAATTAAAGGATATATAAAAAAAAAGAGAAAAAAAGAAACAGATTTAGATATTTTAAAAGAAAATGTTAATCTCAGTGAAATTAAAAAAAGTATAAATAAAAAAAAAGCAGTTGAATTTAAGCCAACTGTGAAAGCAATAATTAAAACGAAAAAAAACAAAAACACCATTAACAGTGAGAATAAAAAAATAAATTTGAAAGTATCATGTGAAAATAAAAAAATTGAAACAGAAGAAAATTCATTATTATTTGGTTATTCAGATAATTCTGACAATTAATATTTTGGGATTTTTTTTTTTTTGTCTTTGCTTTTTCTTTTTCTTGTTTTTTTTTTTTTTTTTTTTTATCTTTAAATATGTATAAAAATTTGTCTTAATCTTTATTGCATTTGAATAAATTTGATGTTTAAATTTTTTTTATTATTTTAAATTGTAAAAATAAAAAAAATAATTTTTTTAAAGTATATTAATAAAATAAAAAATCTCTTAGAGATTTCTATTCTAGAATCATACATAATTTTGTTATTTTCCTTTTTATTCTATATAATATTATTTTTTTATCATTTAATTTTTTAGAATTTACAGAACTGTTTTTTTTATTTATTTCTAATATTTTTTCATAATTATTGAAATAGTACATTAGCATAAATTTTTATATTTTATTTTTAGTGATTCTAAATTTAACTCTTTTTAAAAAACATCTTGTAAGTTAATACAATATTTTACTATTAAAATAAATTTTATTTGCTTAAACTAAAATATTAAGACTAACATTTCTTTTATGGGATAAAACGTTTTTCTTTTTATATATGATATATAAAACTTTTTTTTTTTTTTAATTATGTTAATTTTTAAATAAGCAAAATAAATATTGTTTACTAGTGAAGCATAATTTTTCAGTATAAGAAGAAAAAATATAATTTTATATATAGTAAATTAATATTTTAATTGTACTAAAAAAATGTTTTCGAAAAGTTGATTTAGTAAAAGTATATATAAATGTATATTAATTAAACCAATTTTTTATTTTTTATTTCATTTAATAAACCTTTATGGTTATTGATATTTTTATTCATTTTTATTTCTAAAAGTGCTTTTTTTTTTTTTTTCTTTTTTAAAATTTATTACATTATTTTCATAATATAAAGTTTTTTAATTACTATTGTCCATTATTTAAAAATTGTTCAGATTTTTTTTTCATGTTATATCATAAATAAAATGGTTTTAAAAGAAAAAAAAAATAAAAAGTATTCTTCTAAATATAACAAAAAAAGTAAAGGAAACAATTCTATGGAAAAAGATACTAAAAAAAAAAATACCAGTAAAAATGAATTTTACGATGAAAATGATTTACCATATTATGACAGTAATGACGATTTTTTAATTAAAAATAATGAGTTATTTTATGATATTTTTAAATATGATGACGAATTAAATCAAGTAAAGAAACAAAATATCGAACCTTCAAGCATAATTAAAGAAAAAGAAAAGCATTCAGATTTTGTTATAACATCTATAGCCTTTAACATCCCAGTTGGTATGATTTAATACAGTAAATCCCCAATGCATATATTTCTGAATTATTAGGAAAACTATAATGTTTCACAAAATATAACATAAATTGTCCATTTCTAATTTTTTAGAAAATTCTAACTACATATTTGAGAATAATTTTGTAAATAGAAAAACAAATTCAAATTTTAGATTACTTTCTTGCTTTTATTCAAATTTTTTTTTTCAAATTTGTGAAAAATTATAAAAAATATTTTTTTGTTTTTTACTTTTATTTTTACTTTTTTATTTATTTTTCTATTTAATTTCAATTAAAAATGATTTATTTGCTTTTTTATAAAAAAATAAAATTAAATAAAATAAACACATTTTAAAATTATAAGTAACAAAATTATAATTAAAAGAGTAACATAATAAAAATTTAAATACTTACAATTATCCATTTATTATTAAAACCATAAGCTTTATTAATAAAATAATTTATAAGCTATTTGATAGTTTTTTTGAATATTTTATAAAAAGTTTTTAATGTTATTAAAGAATTTTCATTTATATAGCTACATAATTAAAGGATATTTTTCTTTTTTTTTTTTTTTCTTTTGTTTTTTTTTAAATGATAATCATCTAAATTATTTTTTTTATTTTCAATTAAATGAAAATGTTAACTTCAAAATGACAGATATTTACATTTTTTCTTAAGAGAAAAAAATTTTTCTTTTGTAAATCATTTCTTTAAAAACAAGCATACTTCAATAAAATAAGATTTAATTTCTTAATTTTTGATTACACAAAGATATATATTTTTTTTTCCTTTTTTTTGTATGATAAAGTTTCAAGGATTTTTGATTGATTATTTGTTCATAAAAAAAAAAAGTGTAAAAAAAATGTATAAATTTAATTTATAAAGTGAAAAAATAAGGGAGTCCATATTTAATTTTATTTGAATTCAAATATATATTATATATATTATATATATTATATATATTATATATATATATATATATTAAGATGTTTATATGTCGAATTAATTTATCTAAAAAAATTAAAGAAAAAATACCTTATGGTGTTAAGCAGAGTCAAAACTATAAAGATGCAAAAAAACAAGAAAGAATATCACTAGAAGGGGCAAGGAAATTAAAAGAAAGTAGAGGAATGATATTAGAAGGAAAGAAAAGTTTATTTATGTGTTTACGTCAAAATACTGATATTAACTGGTATAGAGCTGGTCAAATTTTAAAGCATTTAGAAATTCATCAAAGAGCAAAACCTGAAATAACTCCTAAACTTAGAGAGAAAATTACAAATATAGCAAATTTCGTAAAAAAAGGAAGATAATTTTGTTTGTAATTTTAGCTAATCGCAACAATAAATTTAGAAAAAAAAAAAAATCTTTTTTCATGTACATATTCTTGAACATAAGACATTATATTATGATTAAAAATTATTAAAAATGATGTACATTATATATTTTACTTATTTTTAGTATTAATTTTTTTACAGTTTTTTACAATAAATTTTTATTATTAAAAAAAGAAGAGAAAAAAAAAAATTAATTTAAATTAAAAAAAAAAAGAAAATTATTGCATATAATTTTTCATTTAAAAAAAAAAAAAAAAAACACATATATTATTCCATAATTCTAAAATAAACTTCATTTTTTTTTTTTTTTTTTTTATTACTAATTTAATCTAAATTATGTATAAATATTTAATTATGTTAAAAATAATATAAAAAATTTATAAAAAAACTACAATTTTATATTAGACAAAAAAAAAAAAAAAAAAAAAAAAAAAAAAATTATATATTTATAAATACATCGCATTTCATCCATATAAAAAATTAATATTTTTCTTAATTGTCCTATAAAAATATATCTCTTAATATATAATTTAAAAAAGAACTAACATTTCATGAAACTATTTACATATATATTTTTAAATAAAAAATAAAAAATTATATGTATTTATCCATATAAAACATTTCTTTTTCATAATATATATATTTTATTTTTTACAATTATAACGTTTATAATTTAAAAAAAAAAAAAAGAAAAAGAAAATTGAATAATTATATAAATAAGCACGGAAATAGAATTAATAAATATAAAAGAATAAACATATAATGTTAAATATATGATTTAATGCATTAATGGCAAAAATTAAAAGGAATATTTTTCATAAAGATATTAATATAATGTGTTTAAATTCTTTAAAAAAAAAAAAGTAAAAAAAAATATGAGTTTCAAACATATTTATATAATAATATTAAGAATAATAATAAAATAATATAAAACAAAATGCTTAAATTTTTGTTCTATTTGGTAATCTTTTATTATATTTGTTTTGATTTAATATTTTATTTATTAATTTTTTCATCCTTTATTGTTTTGTTTTTATTTCTGCTTTTACATTCATATAATATAAAGATGAATCATTGTTTTCATTTTGACTAGTGTTAATTAAATTGTTTGCACCTGAACTATCATTACTATAAGAATTAAAATTATTGTTTGTATTTTTAGAATAATGATTATTAGAATAGCTGTTATTGTTATCAACATTTGAGTTATTATCTAAATTATTTTGCTCATTAATTATATTTAAAATATTTCTATTATCCATAGGATGCTCTATATTATTTAAAGCACCATGCTTTTCATTATTGATGTCATTATTATTTATATTAATTGATTTGCTATTAATTGCATTTTCTGAATTAATATTTGTATTATCATTGTTATTGTTTGATGAAATATTATAATTTGTATCCAATGAATTCACATTAGCTTCATTTGTGCGATTTAATGCAATATCGGTTATATGAGAGGTAATTATATTATCTACCCCATTAGCAGATACTACATTATTTATATGAGCATTAATTTTTATATTATTTTGATTATGATATTCAATAACATTATTATTTAAAATACATTCATTAATATTCATATGACTTTCTGGATTGTCATTTATTATATTTGTACTATTATTGTTGTTACTACTGTTATCCAATTTATTGCTTGCATTTATCATATTAATATGATTTTCATCTAATATTCCTGTATTCAAGATATCACCAGCACAATAATTATTACTGTTTATATTGTGATCGTTCATAAAATTGCTCAATTTGTTATTACTCATATTATTTATATTACCAATTCCTGTTTTTAAACTATTACTTAAATTACTTGGAATTAAATTATTATTAATTATATTCCCACTTTTTGATGAATTATTACTATTAATATTATAGTTATTTATATTATTTACATTATCATTATTCATATTATTATTATTATTAAAATTATAATTATTTAAAATGTTCATTTTATTATTAGTATTTATATTTAAATCATTATTATTATTATTATTGTTACCAATATTATTACTATTATTGCTACCACTATTACTATTAATATTACTTTTATTTGCATTATTATTATCAATGTTATCAATATTATTACTCAAATTATTATTAATAATACTAATGTTATTAGTATTACCATTATAACTATTAATGCTATTATTAAAATTATTGTTAATATTATTATCCATATTGCTATTAATTGTATTATTAATAATATTCATGTTATTAATCATATTATTATTACTATTATTATTATTAAGGTTATTAAAATTATTAGTATTCAAATTATTATTATTCATATTATTATTATTAAACGTATCATTAAATCCTAAATTAATTAAACTGTTTTGATTATTAATAAGATTTTTTGCATCTACGTTAAATATATTAATTAATTCTTCGTCCGTAAATGGAACTGCTTTATATGCACATTTTACAGTATGCACAGCTAAGCTATGTGCTTTATTAAAACCCCATTTTTTTAATAAATATTTTGAAATTTTTGGTTCCTTTGAATTTTCATTTTCTAAATATTTAGCAAACCAAGAATAAGAATAAGGATCAAATCTAACTCCTTCGACAGGCGTTAACGCACTAGCCCGCGCAGTTAAACTCTCCATTCTTCTTCCTCTTGGAGCTCTAGTTCTCTTTGTGGGAGAAAAATCTATTTCACTTTCTTGCTCATCGCTATGAGGTAATTTTGTTGGGGGAATATTATTATTCATCGTATTATTACTAAAGTTTTGCATTTGTGAAACTAATATATTTCCATTAACATTTTTATCATTTAAATTTTCATCATTTTCCAACGAATTATGTTCCATCAATGCTTCTAATGAATTATCTGGATTAATAGTTAATAAATTTCTCATTCGTTTTGTTCTATTTTCTGTCGTTGTAGCACCAGCTTGTTCTGCTTCTAATCTACATTGTATAGCTAATTCTTTTGCCTTCTCAAAACCTAATTTTTTTATTGGAAATCTTCTCATTTGAAAATTTTTACCAATTGACCAATAAGCTAACCAAGATCCTTTTCTGTCGTTATAAGATACTCCTTTCATAGGTCTTGTGCAATCTTTATCAAAGGATTCCATACATTCCATCAATTCCATATTTTCATTATTTCGACAAAAGTTTTGTTCCACATCATCTAAGGATAATTGAGAATCCTCACTTAACTTTCTTTTAGGAGGTCTTCCTCTTCCTCTCTTTAACCCTTTGTTTTCGGATTTAATTAATTCTTTTTTATTCAATAAATCATTTCCAATAGCATTATTTGAAAGTGTATTGTTATAAGTTTCTTCCATATCATTTTTTATTAAATCGTTAGATAATGTATCTACTGCTTTTCTACCATGAACATGAAACATCGGCTTACATCTTGCACCTGCTTTTTCTGCTTCTTGTCTTGCTTTTACAGCTAAAATTCGAGCCTGTTCAAAACCATACTGTTTCACAGAGAAATATCTTCTTATTTCTCTAGTGTTATCATTCCATGCAGCTAGCCATTGTTGTTTCTTGGGATTAAATCGTACCCCTGGTATTCTTGGTAGATATTCAGGGTGTCCTTCTGTGTTTGATCTAGTCCAATTATTTATATCATTTTTTTTCATTCTATCTGATTTTAAATTTCCATTTTTATTATTCATATTAATATTATTTGTATTATTATTATTGTTATTGCTATTAACATTATTATTATTATTATTATTGTTATTTAAATTACTAGAATTATCATTAACAGTCCTGTTGTTATGCATATTATTTTCATTATTATGTTGTTCATCTATGTCAGAATCATACAATGCTTTATCCTTCAAATAATCTTCTTGATAATCATAATCAGAGTCTTTGTTAAACTTCATATCATCTTCCATTTTATTTGAATTTTTACTAGACTTGACTTCGTATTTTTTTAAATATGATATTACATTTTCTACTTCTGTATTACTTAATGAATCATTTTTTGTATTCATCATATATTTTAAACAATCAGGAGACTCTTCGGATAATTTTGTTCTCATTAAACATTCATAATAATCTTCAACCATCTTATCCTCTTGATCACAAAAGGAATAATTCATACTATTATTTGTAGAATTTATATGAATTGTACCTTTCATGGAAGATTGTGAGTTAATATTATTTGAATTAATATTCCCATGTATTGAATTATTAGTATTGTTCATTTTTTTTTCATTCATTACATCGTCAAATTCATTATGTAATTCATAGTAATTCATGTAATTATTAGAATTTTGTTGTGAATCAGCAGCTCGAAGTATATTTAGCTGCTGTTTTAAATAATCACATACAGATATATTCCACGTAGAGGGTAATTTATTATAACTTAAACAAGGACCAAATACAGCTATATAATTATGTAAATCCACTACTGTTACTGCACTTCTTAATCTATTTAAATGATACATGAAAGATGCTTTTTCATCTGAATTATTAGAATCTGCACACATATCTTTTAAAATCACAATTAATTGTTGTTTACATATTTCTACTAAGGACGGTACATCTAATTTATCTTGATCATTAAAACTAATAGGCATATCCATATCATCCTTTTTTTCATAGTTTACATCGTTCTCATGATCATTTAAATTTGGATGGCCAATTAATAATTCATTGTTATTTTCATTCTCATTTTCATTTTTAATGCTAATATCTTTATCAGTTACCAATGCTTCCATATTGAAATTTTAATTTACATATATATATATATATATGTATATGCATATATATTTAGTAGTATCTTTATTTTTATGCTTTACCAATTATTTGTTATTTATTTTTAAAAAAAATTGGTTTAAGCATTTCAAATAAACGTTTCAAAAAAAATTAATAGAAAATAATAGGGAAGCTTTACCATAAAGATATTAAAAAAAAAAAAAAAAGAAAAAAAGGATATAATTATCTTTTAATATTAAACTATTATATATTAATAAAAAGCACTGAGTTATTCAAAATAATATGTCCATGTTAAAGCTTAAAATTAATAGTATATATATATATTGTAAATGAAAAATACAAAATTATATATAATAATTTATGACAGTACATAAAATTATATAATATTATTTATTATGGTATATGCAATTATAAAGTTATTTATACAGGTATATGTATGTATATAATAAATTTAATTTTTAAAAGTAAATCTTTAGTATGAATTTATAATCATATGTATATATGAAAGAAAAATAAAAAATACAAAATTTAAAAAGGGAAAAACAGAAGCATAAATTATAATTTTTTAATATCTAATCCACATTCATTTTATTTCCTTTTCCATTTTTTTTCTTTAATCTTATCGTTTCAATTCTAAATATTTATATTTTTTGCGCACTTTTTTTTTTTTTTTTTTTTTTTTTTTTTTTTTTTTTTTTTTTTTTTTTTTTTTTTTTCATTAGCTACTACTGCTTTATGTGCATAAGCAAAATTACGGAAATGAAAAAAAAAAAAAAGATAATATAAATAACATTACATACAAAATAAATTCCTGTTAAGAAGAGTTTAATTAAAATATACTTAATTATATGGAATTTAGTTTAATTTATTTTTTATTTTCACATTCCATTATTCTTTTCATTTTCATTTTTTTTTTTTTTTTTAACATTATAAGAATGCTTCCAAAAATTTTTTTTTTTTTTATTTTAAATGCAATTTTCATAAGTTTTTTCTTTTATCTTTACCCTTTTATTTTATTATTTATAAATATATATTTTTTTTACATAATATTTTTTTTTTTTTTTTGAAACATTTTGTTGCATATAAAAATAAATATATGTATTTATATTATATGCACTTTTTTTTTTAATTTTAATAAATGCACTCAATATAAATCGTGCCATAAAAAAAAAAAAAAATATTATAAAAATATAAAATATACTTGCACATATATATATGTATTTTTATATGTATATATGCATATACTAAGAAATTTTATATATTGATGATACAACAATTATATAAGTTATATTATCATAGAAATCATTTATAGGCTTATCATGTTAGTTCATATGTGTGTTTGCATATGTCGTTTTAATACAGTTTTGCTCTTTCTGTTAAATTTATCTGTTTTTTACTTTAAATACATAAATGTATAACTTATGGTTATTGTGTAGCATGCAATACATTTGTCATGCACAATTATAGTTTTGGCCTGTGTTTTTAGATAATTAAAAAATAAGATAAATGTAAAAAATGCAATGCATAAAATGCAATGCATAATAATTTTAATTCATAAATATAATTATAGGTTCACAATTTTATAAAAAAAAAATTATTAAAAAAGAAAAGTTGTTTAGTATCTATTTCTTGTGGCGAAAAAAAAAAATTCACCGGGAAAATGAAAAAAAAAAAAGCTTCAAAAATTGACAATTAAAAAATTTTTTTTTTATTTTTTCCTTTTAATGCACAAAAATAAAAAAATGGACATTTTTCAATGCGAAACAATTTAATTAAAACAGTATAAAATAATTTATAAAAATATAATTTTAAAACAAATACTTTATTGTGCAGCACAAAATGTTTTTCATTTTAATCAATATGATCTTTTCTTTTTTTTTTTTTTTTTTTTTTTTTTTTTTGTGTTGCTATTACAGTCCCCCCTTTTTATTTTTACTTGTTGAAAGAGAATGTTGATTCTGTTATTAACAAATTTATATCTTTATTACCCGTATGATTTTAATTGTGAAATATATATGTTTACATAGTTTTTTTTGTATAGGAATATTATTTTATTTTTTTTAATTATAACCTTCAAAATAAATAATTTTTATATTTAGCTTTTATTCTTAACTTCAAAATTTTAGTTTTAATGAGAGTAAGCTAAATATATTATTCTTCAAAACATAAAAATATATTATCGCTGTTATTATTTTTCTTAATTTCTATCAAATATTTTTTTAGAAAATATTTATTGAGTTCGTTTTGATTATTTCAATTATTAAATACATATATACAAGTATATATTTATTAATATATACAGAAAAAAAATTTTAAACATCTTAATAGAACAGCAATATTCCAATCTAAATATATAAGAATAATCATTTTGTATTATTTTTTATACATAATGTATCATTAGAAGCAATAATGAAATATTTTATTATAAATAATTTTTATTCTGTTGCCAATGGAAACACTACTGTGCTATTTTTATTTTTTTTAATTTTTTTATTCCTAAAAATTATATTTTAGAAAAAATTTGACAAATTAAATGCATGCATCAATGAGGAAATAGAAGAGAATTGATTGTCTATAAATTGGTTTAGAGGGGAAATGATAGAAGTTTTAAAAAAAAAAAATACAAAACAAAAAAATTATAAAAAGTGCATGCGTTTAGAGAATTATATCTTCAATATAGTGCATAAATAAATATCAAATTACAAATAAAATGCACATATGCATACGCATTCGTTGCTTATTTTCTAGATAATTATTTGAATTTATGTCTTTTGTAATTTTATGAATGCTACTCCATAATTAAATCTTTCATCTTTTTAATATTTTACAAAAAGATAATTTTCACAATACTAGTTATTTCATTTCTATATTTCAATGTTATTATTAAAATAAATTATAAATAATATTTTTTTTAATTTATTCATTTTGATATTATGATTAAAAATGTTTATATTACTGTGTTATAATATAATAAATTTATGGAAACAAATATTAGTTAATTATGTAAATAGTAATTTCAAAAGATTAATATCAAATATGGCATATTTGCAATAATTAATTTTATAATTATATAACTTTTAATGCACCTGTTTAAAAAGATATAAATTATTACTATTTAGTTTATTGGTTGATATATTTCAAAAATATATATAATAAGAGCATTTATATATGTAAATACAAATTAATAATAATTAATAATAATTATTGTTTAAATCATTATTATATTTTTAATAATTTAAAGATCAATTTATATTATATAAATCTTGATAATCATTTTAGAAAAACATTATAAGTTTAATTACTTAAAATAGAATAATGTCATATATATTTTGAAAAATAATATTAATTTCATACATAATTATAAAAGTTAGTAAAATAGCAACTTCATAAGTATACTTGTTTTTTTGTTTTTGTTTGATAATCATAGTGCTTTATGAAACAACTGTTTTATAATAGATTATAATTAAGAATAGAATAGAATAAAATAAAATAAAATAAATAGAATGGTGTATTTAGACGAGTATATTCATTATTTTTTTAATAGTATTTAACTTTAAAATTTTAACCTCATTCATATTTTTGTTATTTTATAAACTTTTTAACAAAATATATAATTTTTAATTTAAATTTTGTAGGTGGTTCATTATAATTGGAAAAATAGAAGAATCTATATAGTATACTTTTTTTTTTAAAATGCAAAACAATGTCTTAAAAAGGAAACTTCACAAAATCATTCGAAACTTTCTAAGATATCTCCTTTGAATTAAATTTAACGTGAGTAAAAATAAAAAAAAAAATTTAATTATGTGGAATTAAAATTATTTAAGTATTTACATGAAGAGTCTAATAATTTATGTCATACAATTATACAATTATTTAATAATATTTTATTTTTACATTTATGCTTTTTTTTTTTTTTTTTGTTATAGGTATTTAAAATTTTTTTCTTATTTATCTCCGATATTTTTGTTTTTTCTTATTTCATTATATTTTTTTTTTTTATAAATTTTTTACGTATTTATAATTCGATACAATATGATAATTTAAAAATATAAAAGAAAAAAAAAAAATTATAAAAAACTTTTTCAAAAAAAACTATTCTTTCATTTCATTTAAGAAATACACATATGTATATATTATATTACATTTTTTTATTTAATAAAGGTATATTTCTTAACTTTGAAATATAATATTTTAATTAAATAGTTTCTAAGGTTTAAAAAAAATTTAAAAAAAGTTTGAACAAATATTAATAAAAGTAAATATTCAATGTTTTATTAATATTTATAAAAAAAGAAATAATATATAGCAGATTATATTTTTAAAAAAATATATATTTTAATTATTTATTTATTTTTTTTTTTTTAAAAATTCTTATAAAAATTGTACAGAAATAATTATATTGAAAATAAAATGAAAAATTTACGTATGTTTTTATTCATTTAAATTTTTAAATATTTTTATACTGATATGTTTTCAAAGTTTTACTTGTTAGCATAAGCCTTGATACAGCTAATCGTAAATAAAATCTGAATAATATTGTATTTTTTATACGATCATTAAAAGAAAAAAAAGTTTTTTTACAATTTCCTTTCAATTCATTTATATATTTTAGTGCATCTATTAATTTATTTTGTTCTATGCTGTGTAAAGCGTATGATAAGTTTAATAAATTTTCTTTTAACGTGGAATTTTTCAATGAATGAACTAAAATATATTTGAGGGTATACTCATGATTTAGATACAAATAAGAGATTATTTCATTAATTTTTTTTTTTAAATAATTATCATTTTCATTTATAAATGCTTCTTTTACTCCTTCTTTATATAAATTGTAAAATTCATTTTTTATTTTTTCATTATTATTAACTGGTTTGTACTTATGTGAAAAAAAATCATCCGGTAGTACTTTGAGCATTTTATGTAAAAACACATCTTTTTCTAGATTTTTTTTTAATTCAGGTAAAACTGATTCAATAGATAAATCATGTATTAAACAATTTTGTAAATTCACTAATTGATTTTGAATTTCATTAATATTTTCTAAGTTTATATTTTTAATTTGATCCTTAGAAAATTTATCTTTCATCATATTAATATCACATGCATAGAAATTCATTTTGCTCAAATAATTTTCTTCAATTAATTTTAATTTATTTTCTATCTTTTTTTTTTCCTTATCTATTTCTTTTTCCTTCAAATGAAGTAAGGTAATTTCAAAATTTTTTTTTTCTTTTTCATAATTTTCCTTTAGTATTCTTTCTTCTTCTTTTAATTTTCTCATCATATTTTTTTTTAAATCCCTTTGTAGTTTCTTTTTTTTTTTTAAAAATACATTGTTATATTTAATAGTTAACATTTTCTTTAATATTTCTTTTTCTTCTTCCATTAAAATAGCTTTATACTTGTTTGTTATTAATTCATTAATAAACATTTCTCTCATTTTATTTTTTAATTCTTTCTCATTTAAATTATTTATTTTATCTTCAAAATCTTTTAAATTTTTTTCAAAAAAGCTGTTAAAATGTTTTTCATCAAAAATATTCTCATTTGATTCATTTCCTTCATGTATTCTATCAATACTTAAATTATTTTTTAAATTATTATTTTTTTCTTTTTTTTTTAACATATTGTCATTTGTAATATGCGCATTATTCTTTTTATAATCAATTGAATTTGAAGGATAGTTTTCTTTTATATCATTATAATTTTTTTTTTTAATATCTCCTTCAGATATTTTTTTTTCACCATCTTTATTAATAAACTTTACTTTGTAGGCATCTTCATTTATTAAGTCTTTATTTTGTGCATTATAATATGTTATATTATCAATAGCTTCTTTTGTCTCTTCACTTTTTTTAAAGGACGTTATATTATTTTCGGTCAATTCCTGCTTTATATGAGAATTACAATCCTCGTCTTCTCTTGAAGTAGTTTTATTAATTGTTTTAGAACTATCTTTATTTCTTTCATCTATTTCTTTTATATTATCTAATGATGTTGAAGAATTACCATTATTAATATCAAAAAGTTCAATATTAGTTTTGTTTTGATATTCTTCAATTAATTTTTCAATTTTTTCTTTTTCTTGAGAATCCTTATAAATATGATTTTCAAAATTAATTCTGCTTTCAAACTTTGAACTATTCTCTAATTTATCTTCTATTGTATTTTCTTTTAATTTTTCTACTAAATTTTTATGTAACATTTCTTTTGTATCTTCGTTATGCAAATTTTTTCTTAGTGACTCTTTTTCTATATGATTGTGATCATTATTTAAACCATTATTGTAATCTTCTGATTTATAATTTATATCATTCTCATTATTTGAATCATTAATGTCTTCATCTTTCCTTATCTCGTATGAATTTAATTTGTCAGATAGTTCCCAAATGTTTTCTGTATCATTTTCTAATGTATCAATTTCATTATTTATATTTTTATCATTTTTGTCATAATTATATATTTTATGAATCTCATTCATTTTATCTTCTTTATTATTACTATCATATATATTTTTTTCAATTTCATATTTTTTGAAATTTTCTAAATTATCATTTGGCTTCATAGTTTCTTTATCGAACATTTTTAAAAGACTATTTATTTTTGTATTTATAAAAATTTCGCAATTATTATAAATTTTTAAAATCATACATTTTATTAGGTAATAATATTCATCTACTGATTGCACATCTTTCATATGTAATTTTATATGTGCCTTCCCTTTATCGAAAAACTTATCAAAATCAATTTTAAAAGGAATTATTTTTTTTTCTATAAGATCATATAAATATGGATAAGTTTCAATTTTTTTTTTCAAATCCTCGTTGTTTTCGTATAAATTTACGCTTTCATAAGAGCCATATAACAATAATGCTAAAAAGAAGGCATTTTTAAAAGAAATTTTTCCTTTTCTTTTTTTAAGAGAGTTAACATCTTGTTTATTATTAGTACTTATTTTTCGTGTGTGACGCTCATTATAAATAGAAATATTTCTGAAAAAATTGTTTTTATATAAACTATAATTTTTATCAAATTTATTCCTTTTATATTTATTTATAAGATTTTTATATAAAACAAATCTTAGATTTAACATCCTTTTTAACTATAAAAAAGAGTTTCACTATAATTGAATTAGTGTGTATGTATTTTGTATTTATATATATCAAGAAATAATTTTTATACAAAAAATTTTTTTTTTTTAAGAAACAAAAATTTATTTTTTCAATCTTTTTTAACAAAATTTAAATAATTTTTTATTTTTTTTAAACACAATGATTTTTTATTCTTTTCTTTTATTTATATAACATGTATTATAATACAATTTAATCATACTAAAATAAAATACATAAAAAGATAATTTCTCTCAGAAAATAAAAGAATTTTAGAAAGTAAAATTTTCTTCATCAACTTAAATAGTTTATAAAAAAAAAAAATTTAAAAAAAAAAAACCGAAAGATAAAGAATTAAAACAATATATATATATATAAAAAAATATATATAGTAATAAGAAAAATTAAAAATTATTTTCTATATCAAAATAAGAATTGCATTTTGTTCTATTTTGTGCTTTTTTATAGAGTTATAAATAATTTCATATTATTTACATTTAATTTATTTCTAACAAATAATATATGTTATTTACGATTAGTTAACTATAAGTATTTTGTTCTTTTTTTTTTTTTGATCTTTTTTTTTTTTTTTTTATTTCCTAAAAATGCTACTATGAAAAATTAAAATAAATATAAAAAATATAATACATATAAAAAGGGCAAGAAACATAATGTATATTTAAAAATTAATATTCCAAATATTTTTAAAAAACTACAAAAAAACTAATTCCCTTTTAAACTAAAAAAAAAAAAAAAAAAATCTCTTATAGTTTTATGTTTCAAAAGTTGAAAAAATTATAAAAAAATAAAATATATGAAAAAATACTGATATGCTTAAAAAAAAATAGAACTATAAGATATATAAAACAATTAAGTATAATAATATATAAATAATTATATAGAATGTAATTATGTTTTATTTAATTAAATAAAAATATAAATGCATATAAAATAAAAATAGAGAATATCAGTAATATAAAAAGAAAAAAAAAAAATATATATTTATCTTTTTAAATTATGTAGATAGAAAATGTTTAATTTTTTTTTTCAAACTTGATTTTTTAAATATTTTACATTTAATACTAATAATATTAATATATATATAAATATATGACATGTGTTATTTGTTCAAATATGGAATTTTATTTATATAAAAAAAAAAAAAAATTAAAATTGAAATAAATATATTAAATATGCTTATTTTTTATATAAACGAGTTCTTTTTCACTACTATTTAAATTTTGAATAGTTTTTTTTTTATATATTCTCTCAATATCAAAAAGAAAAAAAACAAAAATATATTAATTGTTTATTATTATTAAATATATACTTCTTTAATAAATGAAATATTTGATATAAATATGATATGTAATTATTTTTTATAAATATATGAAAAATATATAACTTGATTATTAATGAAAGAATTTATTTCATAATAAAGGTGCTTATTATTGATATAAAATTTTATTTATTATTTTACTTTTTTTTTTTTTTTTTTTTTTTTTTTTAAACTTTTAACAAAATGTCCGCTTTTAAAATAAACGGAATTATAAATAGCAGATCTTGGGGACCGGATACAAAAAATGAGGAATTAGTAAATTGTTGTATGTCAGAAATAAAAAAATATCAATTTGAGCCATCTATGAAATTTGAAAGAATAGGAAAAATATGTGATTTTACAAGTAGTAATTATCAGAAAAATGTGAAAGATATAAATAAAAATACAAATGATGCAAATACATTTGATGAAGAATTGCAATTTCAAACTGTTGATTTACGTGCAGGACAAAAACAAAAAGGAAATTTGTATAACAAAAAAAAAATTCATAATAAACAAACAACTCAAGCATTTACTCAAAAACAACAGGATGAAGATAATTTATATAGTAGTAGAATAAAAACAGCTGAACAGAAAAAACAAAAATTATTACAACAAGCAAAAACAGCTAGAATTAATGCAAGACATAGAATTTTCACAGAATGGAGTATTGAACCAACTCCATTATGGACAGTAGAATGCGAAATATTATTTAACGAATTACCAAAAAAATTAATAAAGCTAGATAATTTTAAAATTGAAGATATATTTTTTAAAGGAAAAACATTATATTATGATAAAAAAGTTGAAAATATAAATGTAAAAAATCCACCCACTTTAATACATTTAAATAAAGATATAGATTACTTAGCATCAAAAACAAAAGATGATAAATCTTTGATGGATATTTTGTCAACTGAAGAAAAAAAATGTAAAGATGAAAATATTGTTTTAATCGCTTCAACTGATCAAATTTTAGCTTGTCTTATGTCTTCTGTTCAATCAAAATATTCATGGCATTTATTAATAATAAAAGAAGGAAATAAAATCATTATTGATAAAGATGAAGATTCAATTGTAGATCTATTAACAGTTAATGAAAATTCCATTGATGCTCCAACCCAAGATAATGAAAATAAAATTAACAGTTTACAATCATTAGGTTTTGAAGCTATAAAAATTAATCAGAGATTTAGAAAACAAGTGTTACTAAAAAATGAAGTAGCAGAAGAATATGAAAGCGCTTCTTTTAGAACAAAAACTAATAAGCCTTCTGACTTTCTTTATAGATACAGAAAGATTAATATACCTCCCTTAACTAATAGTGTCTCAAAAAAAAATTACACATTAATAACAAGAGGAGAAATTCATTCAAAGATTAAAGGATCTACAAATTCATATATATATATATGTGCTCTAAATGAATATGATATTAAAAGTCATAAAAATTGGAGATCTCAAATTGAAAATCAAAAAGGAGCACTTTTAGCAAATGAAATCCGTAATAATACATCAAAATTACAAAAATTCATTTGCCAAGCACTCTTAAGTGGTTGTGATGATTTAAAATTAGGTTTTATTTCTAGAAAAACTCTTAATGATGCAGAAAATCATCACATATTATCTATACAATCACATAAAACAAAAGATTTATCTACTCAAATTGGTTTAAAATATGAAAATATATGGGGCATTATCAGATATATTATTGATATTATTTCAGAAAAACAAGACGGAAAATATGTTATACTAAAAGATCCATTGAAACCTCTTTTGCGTTTGTATTGCACAAATGATGATGATAATAATTAAACTATTTTTTTTTTTTTTTTTTTTTTTTTTTTAAATTTTTATACATTTATATATATAAATTTATAATCGACAACATAAAAAAATTTATATATAAAATATTTTCATACAAAAATTTTGAATACAATTGAACAATTAAAATTATATTTATTCCTCTCTTTTTATTAAAATAGTAAAATTTCTAAAAAAAATAAAAAATTTATAAAAATTTTAAAATATTTACATTTTTACAAAATTTTAAAAATTAAATTGTAGTATTAAAAAATTCATCACGTTAAAATTATGCTATTAAGAGGTTCAAAAGGTAAAATTTAAAAATCTAAAATGTTTTTTGTATTAAAAAATTCTAAACACCAAAAAATCTATAGATAAAAAATTTAGTATATTTTTAAAGTTAATTTTAAATATATGGCAATTTAAATAAAAAAAAAAAAAAATAAATAAATAAAATAAAATAAAATATATGGCATTTATTTTTTAAAAATTTTTTTATTTATATTAAAAAATGTTTGTAACGTTTTTCATATTGTTGCAATTTCATAAACATTACATCTTATAGTTGTATATTTCTATTATTTAAAATTATTACTATTCATTATTAATATATTATTTCTATGATTCAAAAGACAATTAAAATGTCTTATTTGTTCTGTACACATATATATGTAATATAATTTTTGTTATAAAAATTTAAAAAAACTAGTAAGTTTGTTAATTTTTTATTTCAATGATTTTTTTTTTATTACATTTGTGTAAATAACTTTTTATATAATTTTTTATATAATTTCTATTATTTGCATACTTTTTTTTTAATTAGTTATAACTTTTTATTGATAATTATATTACTCTTTTATTAATACACTTAATGTTTTTCTTTTTTTTTTTTTTTTTTTTTTTTTTTTTTTTTTTTTTTTTTTTTTTTTTT